TCTTTATAGTCCCTTTGTCAGCTCGACTTGATGCGTTTAACATTTTGTGATTGTTTGAATTTTAAAAAAGCAGATGTGAGAATATTGCATTGGCAGTCATCACAACAGAGAAGGCAAATACAATGGTGCTGTCCATGCACAGGTTTTCCCTGCACAAAAAGTTTAAAGTGTAGCTTAAATTACATGCTGTCAGTACCAAAACATCACCTGCCAAAAATTGCATGAGATAGAAAATATTTCAGTGGAATTATATGTGAAGGAAACATCAGTATGCAGAATCCATTTCACCACCAAATGGCTTTTTTTGTTCTTGGTTATTTTTGTATAAGTCACCTGTCACCCAGACCAACTTGTGATCAGAATGCACTTGCGATACATTGGGCTTCATTTGGGCTGATGTGAAAGCTGTCAGTCAAACTCTGGTGGGGACCAAACAACCAGACTGAGCTTGAAAAGAGCTTGGGTTTCTGGTATTATTTGTTTGTAGTGTGAAAGCTAACAGACCACTTACAGTATTTTGTTATAGTAAATATTGTCGACACATAAAAGATGAACATCGTATCTCCACTTCCTCTCACTCCCGGATACGGCCACTTCCATCTTGCTCTGGTGACGTCATTCGAAGCCAGTTTGACCCATGTCCGATGTGCTAACATGGAGGGAACAGGCTTTAAGACATATACTGCATTCAGCCACCAGGGGGCAATCTAGATGTTTTGGTTTCACTTTTGGACAACTGTCATGTCGTCCATCTTTATATATGTCGATGGGAGATATTAGCATATCAAAAGCAAAAATATTTTTCAATTTAATCCATTTGCTGGTCGTGAACTGTTGAGGAAGCCATCTTATAACTGATTTCTATAGTGATGTACTGTTTTTATTAATGCAAAACGTGTGGTTACCATGGTAACCTGTATGCATGTCAGAGACTTTGCCTGACCAATAAGACCATCAAAGGCTGTTCAAACTGTGATCTGCTGAGCTGAAGTCCATTATAAAGTGTGTGACACAGTGATACATAACAGCTTCAATTCTGTACAAACCTCTACCTCCACTATTAATTACGTGGTCGATTTTCAGTCTAATAATACTTATAATGCTTAGAATTTCTTCTTTCATCATGAGCCCTTTGTGACACCAGAGAGCACAAATACACATAAAGAAGCCACCAGCTGTCAGTCACCAGTTTTCCCACAAGGGTCCTGATGGTGCCAAAGCTGTCCAATCAATGAGTTACCTGTCAATCTGTATGACTCCATGTTGTTTTGTTTGTATAAAGTCTGTGTGAACATAAACCAGAGCAGAACTAAAATACGAGAATGTATATATGTTTTTCCCTTGATCTGGGCCAAATTAACGGCAGGTGTGAAAGTGCATGTCTGCAAGTAGCTGCACAGTTGGGTTCAAATGGGTTTTATGGGACATTATTCATGAAAAGTTCAGTGTGAATCAGGATGAAAACACAAGTGAGACTGGTAAAATATAGTGTTTGTGCCAGAAAACCAAAAACGGCTAAACGAGGCTAAAATCCTATGGTGCATATCATATATATCTCATAGTGCTATTAAAGACCTAGTAATTAAGCTACTAGAGCAATACACTTGCAACAGTTTTAAGCGTGCACATACGGGTAGAGGTATAGACTTATAGGTGTGTATAAATGTGTATAATTGTGTTTTCTACACAATTCTACAGTGTTTTCTACATAATTGTGTTTTCCTGTATATTTTATCCTGTTTTTGAGCTGTCGCAGGGCACCCCTGTAGTAAAGACCTCGGTCTCAGTGGGTCATCCCTGCTATAATAAGGGATAAATAAAAAATAAAATGTTTCAAATGGCTTAGATAAACTGCACAGCTGGATGGAAATTATGTGCAGGTTTATTACAAGGAGTGACCCCTTTCTGACTACACATGGTAGTTTTATCCATTGTTAACATTATTTATTTGGTGCAGCTTTAATTATATTGTAATTATGTAAATCCACTGTTTTGATAAAAAAAAAGAATAAAGTACAAAAGTAGAATTGACAGTACTACAACAGCATACATGTGGTTGCATTCATTTGGCCAACAGCTTAGCAAGGTAATAATCTTCCCCCAAAAATGATGCCAATTTCCGCTTGGCCACGAGACTAACCCTTTCGACCTTTGAGATATCAAGTGGACAAAAAAGAAAAACACCCAGATAGACAGACACTAAAAATGTTCAACCCTAGGTATTCATATTGTTTCTGTTCCATGGCAGTGTTCCCTACACAGTGTGGTCAGCTCTTGCAGTGTCACGCTCCACTGGACTGAGAAGTGTTTGCTGATATCATGTTTTCTCCAAAGCCACACAGGTCAGCCCCTCAGAACTGCAAGATGTGTTTCAGGAGACCTCCTCCAATATCTTCCAGATCAACGCCAACGGTAAAAAGAGCATTCATCAGTAAAACCGTGTGTGTGTGTGTGTGTGTGTGTGTGTGTGTCTGTCCATGTCTGTGTGTTTGTGTGTGTATCTGTCCCTGTCTGTACAGTATAGGGCTGCTCGATTATG